AGTTACCGAGGCAGTAAATCTTTATGGAAGTAGGTTGCCCAGTCTTCCTTCTGTGGAGTGGCTGGTGGATTTGAACTGCCAACCTTCTAGTTAGCTGTCACATATCTTAAGCACTACACTACCAGAGCTTCTTATATGTGTTTATATATACACACGATTTATCTCAAGGAAATTTATCTCAAGGAAATGGCTTATGTGGTTGTAGAGGATGACAATTCCCAAGTCTGTGAGTCATACATGAGGCTGGAAGCTTTTCCTAACTCTATAAGGGATGATGAACCCCAGACTGGTGGATAAGATGGCTGGCTACTTGTTCAAAAGTTGTGGAGACTAACTATTCCCAAAATAAGCAAGCAATATGGTAGGTCACTTGATCAAGTCCAAAGAACTAGATGTCAGATGATGATGAGCCAGATGCAGGAACCAGATCAAGCAAAAAACAATATTGTTTGCTAGAATATCCATGTACATTGGATGTAGTCTACACCTTCAAAGAAATTCCCTTTCAACAGATTGGCTGCTCATAGTAGATCTCATTATGGAAGTGATTACATCATTGCATAAATGCAAAAGTACATCATAACCACCAAACCAAGTGGTTTCCTCTCCTTGTAATATTCTCCTTTTCCCCCTCATCAAGAACCAGACATCACCTGGTAGAAAAGTCGAGAAGATAGCACACTTTACCTAGTTTGTACTGGAAATCTCACCAGAAACCAAAAAGTTTGGCAGAAGGAAATAGCCCTGTACTGACAGGTATTGACTCTGAGGTCTTTTTCAAATACTAGCTGAGTTATATGTCAAAGTTAAATCTCTGCTACTGTTGATGTTGGAGATCTCTGTTCTGAGGGAGGCAGCAGTGAGGACAATCCTCAAAGCAGGGGCTACTACTTCCAAATGTTTGATTATTTCCCCTTTGGATGAGAACACTGTGATATTTGACATTCACATCCTCAGTAAAACCAAGGCAGTCCCAGTTCACCAAATAATAACTTTTCCACTTCCTTACATCACCCAGGACCTGAATTGCTTCCCTTCTCCAATTGTAGAGGCCCAGTGCAGGTCCTCCAGCTGCATAGATTATGATGGAAGCCAAACAGCTCCACAAACAACTCTGACAAGAGATCCTGGTCCTCCTGAGGGATAAGCTCCTTCCCCTCACAGTTGGAGAAGACATGGGTGATTGTTGGCTGCACCTGTGTTACCCCCCTCGTCCACCACGTGGACTGTGATCTACACATCATCTCAGCTGAAGAAGTTACAGAAATGCCACTTTTGCTCAGCAACAAATCCTTCCTGTGCCCAGTGCCCTCCACATCAAAGAAGTTTTAGTAAGACCTACATGGCATTCTCAAAGCTCTCTATTAGATATCGAATTAACTTTCTGAAGATTCTTCAGAATCATACCATTGTCTTAAAATGTTCTATTTCTCACCTCACTGAAAATGGATGGAGAGCATGAAGAAGTCCTGAGTGACTCCACTTTGTTCATGTTCTATTATGACTGCCTCCTAGCCATGCATTTTACCTTGATACAATAGCACACAGAGCTGGGAGCTCTGTTGGTAATATGTGACTCTGTTCCATGTAGATGAAAACACAGAAAACATAATCAGAATGTAAGAGTATGTGTGTGGGGGAGCTCTGCAAAGGAAGTGGTGGGTTTGGTAAAGATGGGGACAAGGATCTAGTACATAAATTTATTATTTGCTGAATATAGATGAAGTTGTCCGGAATGACTACATATTTAAATTTGTAAGGATACTGTCCATATATTTATAAACTGTTGATTATATTAAAAAATAGGAGAAAAATTAATATATCAAGTATTAATATAATGTATTGTTGGGCTGGGGGGAATTTGACCCGATGAAGTTGATGTGCAACTTTAACCACACAACAACCAAATTAAAAAAAAAGTAAAAAATAAAAAAATTTTCACTATCTCTTACTCTTTTTGTCTGTCCAGTATGAGGTCTATCTCCCTCCAGTATGAGGGAGATATACACTGTTCTGATATCAATGAAGAGGTACCTGGGAGTAGGGGATCACAGGCTTACTTGGTTTTTCATTAGTTTCTATTATTAGTATATCCAGGGAGCTCTGGTAGCATAATGCATAAGGCATTTGACTGCTAACCAGAAGGCTGGTGGTTCAAATCCACCCGCCACTCCTCGGAAGGAAGATGGGGCAATCTACTTCCATAGTGATTTGTTGTTGTTGTTATTTGCCGGAGTCGGCTCTGACTCATAGCGACCCCCTCCTTGGGTTTCTGAGGCAGTATCACTACGGAAGTAGGATTGCCCAGCTGCCTTGGAAACCCAAGGAGGAGTTGCTATGAGTCGGGTCTGACTCGATGGCACATAACAACAACAACAACATTAGTATATCCTTAATATATTTGTAGCTCAAATCTGCTTAGAGATACCTTGTCAGTAAAAGTCTCACAAATCTATAATCAAGTAGGTTTTGGTCACGGCTCAGGTCTCAATGGAGTCTCCAAAGAGGAAGAAAACAGTTCTAAGTTCATGTGCCTAAAGGAAGGACTCAGTCCCTTGAAGGCTATCAGCCTGAACATCATTGTTGCTTGTTTAATTATGGCCAAATGCCACCCTTCCATAGTTTGATACTTGTACTTCTCCATGTTGTTGTTTTTGTTATGCGCCGCCGAGTCGGACTTAACTCATAGC